GTGATAGGTAGGAGCACATAATGATGGACTCCAGATCCACTCACCTATGTGTATCGGGGGGGCGAATGCCATATAATTTGTGTTAGTTGCGGTGCCAAATAATAAGTATATTGGTTTGGGAGACCTAACCCCCCTGCTGACTTGGGCTGGTACATCAAAACCTTTGCTAATCTGTGTCTCTTCCTAGCCCAAATAAAGTAATCTATCACTTTATGTAAGTGTGTGAGGTCCTGTTTGGTGACTTTGATAGGTAGTGCGTGGAATAAAAATAGCAGTCTTGGTAAAAGATTCATTTTTATAGAGTGTAGCCCTCCTATCCACGCGATGGGTTTCTCATGTCATTTGTCAAGGTCACTCAGTAGGGTCTTAATTAGTGTGGTGTAATTGCTGTTATAAAGTTTGTCTGGATCCACTGTTAATGTTACACCTAAGTTTTGTAATAGAAGGTTGTGTGACCTTGATCCCATGTTTGGGCCCCAGCAGCGCCGCCTCCGCAGTCGACACATTCTGCATCATTGCCATAGATATGCTGATATGTAACTAAAGGCACATAATACCCATATTAGTTAATCTAGCGATGCATCTGGATCTGTAAGGCTTAGCATTACATCATCCACATCAGGTGATCTCCTGCCCTTTTTAAAATATGATTTGATTATTTTATTATTGCCTGCATTTCTGTCTATGCTGGTTCCTGCTGGATAAACTTGTAACAGAGTTCATTAATGTCCAAGGTTGACTGAAGGAATTAGAACAAATATGACATTAAATTAAAGGGATACTATAGTGCCAGGAATACAAAGCTGTATTCCTGGCACTATCGCTCCCCTTGCCTCCACCCTCCCTTGGGCAGGCCCCTTACCAGTGAATAATGGGATAAAACCCCTTTATTTACCTTATCCAAGCGCCAATGTCTCTCGGCGCTTTGTTGAAGCTCTTCCTTCTCCTCTGTCCTGCGACGAGCAGGCTTTAATGCGCATGCACGGCAAATGTAATCAATGCTTTCCTGTGGGAAAAATCGGATGCTAAACATCCTCATGCAGAGTGTGAGGACGTCCAGCATCAGATACTGGACCAAAGGTCTGTTTCAAATTTGAAAGCCCTTTAGTGGTATAATCTGGTAGACAGCCACTAGAGGCTGACTTAGTGCTGCAATGTAAGCATTGCAGTTTATCTGGAATTGCAGTGTTCAACATTACAGCACTAAGGGCAATAGGGACACTGTACCCAGACTACTTCAATGTGCTGAAGGGGTCTGGGTGCCTTCAGTGTCCCTTTAATGCTGAACAAAGAAAAGGCTCAGGCATATGAGTGCTATATTCAAGCAGACTTTAATGGAACACAAGGTGAGACAATGATTTAGCTCTATTATAGCGACTTTGTGACACATGACAAAGGCTCTATAGCAGAACCAAAAAAAGTGTCGTACCTCGTGTTCTATTGAAGTCTGCTTGCGTACAGTGTCTCTGGCCTCTTCTTTCTTAGGATTACTAAGTGTTGCCACTCTGGTTGAATGTACACCTGATTTGTACGCTGCATAATATAATAATTAAGCAATCTAATTTCTTATATTAGGAGGTCAAGTCAAAAGGGAGTGGTGATCATGCTGGCGTAGATAAAAAATGTCTTGGAATTGAAGTAGTAAAATGTCTGAAATAATATTGGTGCAATGTAGGCCATGCAATATAATAGACTGCCTAGATTGACCTAGAATACTCTGGATTTTTTCACAAAATAGTACATAGCTGCTTAATCAATGAGTCGGGATTGTTCTGAGCTGCTAGCTCTCATTGGTCAATACAAACTACCCTCTATTTGTTAAATAAGAGGATCTACCTATGTTTATCAGTCTGTACAAAGTTTAGCAAGCTAAACTAAATTTTAACTTACTAATGCACTCTCTTTATGTAGTAAAATGATGTATCACTTTCCCTGATTTTCACGTTTCTTACAGATTCCATGTCTCTGTTGCAGTGTGTTGTTTTGTTTGTTCTATATGAATTTAATATGAATGGTGAAAGACAAAAATTTGGGACGGCAGAATTTCATGCATCTTTCATCGGCAGAATTTCATTCACTGAAAAAAACTAAAAGGGCACAAAATATGACAATCAATGTACTGCAAAATATATAAATAATATAAATATGACATTTTCCAGCCATGTGATTTACAGATCAAGTAAGAAAAAGTAGCCAATAGAGGGGAAAAAAAGAGGAGCAGCAATATATATATAAAATATATAAAATATTTGTTTACTGCTCCTCCTTTTTTCCCTGTATTTGTCACTTTTCACTAGTTCTGTGACTAAAATCAACATTTAGTAGCTGTCCCAAAGTCAATTAACTTTATTCTCCCTTTCAATAATCTTTTTTTTTATCATGGTTGGAACTCCAAATCATGAATCAAATGAACATGTTCATCCATTAGTCTATATGGCGATTCGAAAAACGGGAATTTGGTGACCCAATTGCCCAAATTCCGACAAATTGCAGTTCGGCAATACAAAAGAATGAAGGTGCTGTGAACACATTTATATAGGGAAAAGAACTTTAAAAAAAAAAAAAAAAACATTCCAAGTATTCAAAAGGTAAGTAGCACTTAAACAAGTGAAAACAACTCAAAAGACACTTAATATAAAAATAAAAATATATACATATAGTGCAAACCAGCATAGTGAAAGTTCAATATCAAGTGCACTATATAAAGTGCTAAAGTAGTGCTCGCTTAGCACCACTGGCAAATCCTGTCTATCGTTTGTTATAAATGTGTAAACGTTATACTCTTTTTATTAATAAGATGCCTCACTCACCTTTTAACCGCCTTGTATTGTATGATGCATTAACCACTCAATAAAAGAGAGAATTTAAAAAAAAATTTTATGTATGTGATTTTATCACAAAAACATTGTGAATTATCCAACCATTGTGCAGTCTGTGATAAGAAAAAGAGAACAGTTACTCATGACATAAATATTACATGAAGTAAGATAATCAGGCAACTCACAAGAGTGGAGCAGTAAAAGTCTGCTCTAACTTTGACAGCTTTGGTGTCCTATATTCAGGACCACGAATGTAACAAGCAGGACGATGTGATAAGATGTAACAGGCAAGACGGCAACTGGATACAAGTAAGTATTTTATTTGTAATATAAACAACAATAAAAACAAACTCTCTCCTTTGTGGCATGCTGGTGGTGTTTATCCTCAGACCCTTTGATACGCGGCTAGCACTTGAGGTCCTCGGGTAACTGATACACTTCCGGGAGAATGAGTTTTGTATGAATGGTTGCCCATGAGCTGAGTTCTGTTGAAATACTTTTGCAGAAGTTGAAGAGTTGGTAATTTATACCAGTGTCACACTATTATTGTGAGACAAGGGTCTGAAATCAGAAGTGTTGACTATGAACCTTTACAACTTTTATACAGACAGGGTGACCAAATCCACCATGTTTACAGGGACACATAATTGTTTTCCTGTATGTATAATGTATATTCTGCAGGTTTCTTCATTGCCTAATTGCTTAATCCAAGGGTCCTCAAACTCCGGCCCCCCAAATGTTGCTGAACTACAACTCTCATGATTCTCTGGCTATGTAAGTCAAAGAATCAAGGGAGTTGTAGTTCAGCAACATCTGGGGGGCCAGAGTTTAAGGACCCCTGGCTTAATCTGATACACCTTCTTCTAAATTCAACATACTACAGGGCAACCCGTTTACCCGTTAATATGTATATATGATATTTGTCCCATAAAATATGGTGGATTTGGTCACCCTGTGTACAGGGAGTCTTGTGTCTTTGTCTTCTGCTTAAAGCAATGTGTTTAATCACGTGTAAGTGGCAATAGGTGCATGCAGTCATGTTAAGTAATATTATGTGTAAACACATTTGGGTAATATCTAGTTTTCTAGATCATCTTTTATATATGAAACTTTCAGTCTTTATGCCAACCTTAAATTCTGTGTCCTTTAACGATCTTCGTGAAGTGTATCACGTGCATTTTCAGTCTCATCAGGGCAAAGTGCTGGAGGAAAAAGGTTAAATTATTAAAGATTTAGTAATGACAATGATTCGTGATACACAGCATCATACCAGTGTAGTACAGACACTGAGTTTGTATAAGGTCAGACACAAAGGAGGGAATGTTGTAAACCATGTCTGATTATAGGAACACAGGTTCACAATTATTTGCCATGAATAATAAATAACTTAACTGTGTTACCTCAAGGAATATTGCTCTAGCAGGCATGGTACAGGGGTGTTGGTTGCAACATATGCATGTTCATAAAATGAAACAATCAGATTTTTTTGAACAACCCAGCAGCTAACCAAATATTAGTTATGGGTTCCATATGTGCGGGTTTATGAATATTTGTAGCATCATTCTCTACATATGTCTTGGGCATGCATGGCAGAGCCAGAGCATAACATTCAAATTAATATAACCAGCAGTGGGAATTTCTTCACAGCCACTCAAGTGCACGTAAGCATCATAGACACATTGCCTTTGACAAGGAAGATCTGCAGTGGTAAGTGGTTTTTGCTATTTATGTACTTACTTTTGTTGCACAGCACTCGGCAAAAAAAACAATCAAATCGTTTGTTGTGTTAGGACGGATGACAAGTTAGTGTCAGGAAAAAAAGGGTAAATAACATAAAATGTTTCCTATATTAACTGGTAATAAGCTGCTTCATTCTAATCCAAGAAAATAATGACTACATCATATATATCCCTATCAGGGCCGCCACCAGAAATTTTGGGGCCCCTGACAAAGCACAAGGTCTGGGCCTTGTGCAGACTGTGTGTCAGTGCAATGAATGCAGACTGTGTTAGTGTAATGAATGCAGTGTGTGTGTTAGTGTAGTGAATGCAGAGTGTGTGTCAGTGTAGTGAATGTAGAGTGTGTGTCAGTGTAGTGGATGCAGTGTGTGTCAGTGCAATGAATGCAGTGTGTGTGTGTCAGTGCAATGAATGCAGTGTGTGTGTAAGTGTAGTGGATGCAGTGTGTGTGTCAGTGTAGTGAATGCAGAGTGTGTGTCAGTGTAGTGAATGCAGTGTGTGTGTTAGTGTAATGAATGCAGTGTGTGTGTGTCAGTGTAGTGAATGCAGAGTGTGTGTCAGTGTAGTGAATGCAGTGTGTGTGTTAGTGTAGTGAATGCAGAGTGTGTGTCAGTGTAATGAATGCAGTGTGTGTGTTAGTGCAGTGAATGCAGTGTATGTGTTAGTGTAGTGAATGCAGTGTGTGTGTTAGTGCAGTGAATGCAGTGTGTGTGTTAGTGTAGAAAATGCAGTGTGTGTGTTAGTGCATTGGATCCAGTGAGTGTGTTAGTGTAGTGAATGCAGTGTGTGTGTTAGTGCAGTGGATGCAGTGTGTGTGTGTGTGTGTGTTTAGTAGTATATGCATGTAAATGTAATAACTGTTTTCCCCCCCTCCCTGTTTCTTACCTGGTTCAGGGAGGGGGGAGATTCCATGATCCCTGGTGGTCCGGTGGCATTGTGGGGCCCCCCGGCTACCTATACTTGTAGAGGGGGCACAGCGGACTGCAGCTGTACTTTACAGCATTTCCCTCGCTCACTCCTGCAAGATGTGGTGTGCGCGCCGCGCGGAGCGTTTCCATGGTAACCCATGGCAACGCACTAACGGCCGCACGTCTCGCGGGAGTTAGAGTGAGGGAAATGCTGTAAAGTACAGCTGCAGTCCGCTGGGCCCCCTCTGCAAGTGTAGGGAGCCGGGGGGGCCCGCGGCTGCACCTATATATAGCGATCATCGCTATATATAGGTGCAGAGAGTAATTGTGGGGCCCTGGACTGCCAAAGCAATCCAGGCCCCCCATGACCGCCGGGCCCATGACAACCGTTGTGGTTGTGACCCCCTGATGGCGGCCCTGATCCCTATGCACAGAGCAAGGATTTTACAATTATTTTGTCCATTAAACAGTTGTAATATAGTATAGTTTTTTGAAAAGAATGTTGCAATATGCTACACAGTCTGTAATAATGTGATTCCCATGTGAGCAACTCACATTGTAATTTAAACTATTATCCTTCAAGTATATTGTATCTTATTGTTTTGTTTCCCTTTCAAACCTGCCAATGGATTTCTTTTTGGTGAATACTTACCTCTCATAAGTTTTCGACTAATATTTTTGAGACTGTTTATATTCTGACATTCAAGCCCACTATTGTGGCTGATTGTTCTGCCACAACATACACTTATTAGGACTTTAGACTTTTATTGTCATATACAGTATCTTTAATGGAGACTCAATATCATATAGCCAAAAATGTTATATGTGAGGGTTCAACTTACTATTTTATCTTATTGTCCTTAAGTTTCCTTATTAAAATTGTCAATTAACTCGTATTAGGTGCATACTTACTTCTTATGGGCTTACTACACATACCTGTGGGTTTACATGTCTCATAAATTGACCCACTTAACTGGATTGTTTTGCTTTAATATACGCAATTTGTGATGTCATACTATTCATTATTATTGTCTCAACATACAATATTCTTAGCAGAGATCCGATATCATCTTTTGAAATTTTATATGTGAGGATTCAATAGATCGATGCCGTTATCCTCTCTCCTTGACTACTGTAATACACTTCTCAGTGGTCTTACATGGTCTCAAATTACCCCGTTACAGTCTATAATGAATGCGGCAGCGAGGCTCATCTTCCTGTCTGCCTGCAACTCCCAAACCACCCCCCTTCTGTCAGTCACTACATTGTCTTCCTGTAACATACAAGGCTCAATTAAAAAAAATCTGATATTTGTTTATAAATCTCTACATAATGCTGCTCCAACCCACCTATCATCCGTAATACACAAGTATGTCCGATCCAGGCCCCTTAGCTCTGCCGAAAACCTGCATCTATTCTTTGTCCACCTCTGATGCTCACCTTCAAGACTACTCTAGGGCTGCACCGTTCCTGTGGAACTCCCTTCCCTGCTCCATTAGACTTTCAGCCACTCTCCATTCCTTCACAAAATCATTGAAATCTCACTTCTTCAGGAAAGCATATCAATTAAACTGCAAACAGCTTTCCTCCCGCGCACCCTGACGCTTCTCCTGCAACTATCATTATAAAAACAAAAAAACAAAACACCCACTAGGCCAATAAGTACTTTAATAGCAACCTAGTTTTCTACCTTACCCTTAGCTTCTGTCAGGATTACTAATTGATCCGGGACGCAGAACTGTATCAAACCTAGGGCCCTAGAATGGCCGGACCTAACGTACCAGAGAATAGTCAGAATTCTTGCTGAGGTCAGGGACACAGAACGAGACACAATGATGAGGGAAAGTCAAAAGTCAAGGATATCAGAATACAGGGATGTCAAAACGAAGCCAAAGTCAATAATCAGAAATAAATGCTCAGGAACACACTCTCGGACAACCACGAAGGGAAACCATGACAGGGCAATGAGGAAAAGGAAAAAAGGAGTTTAAGTAAGCCTCCCTGAGATCCAATTGGCCGTACCTGGCCTTTGACCCCAGAACGTGCGTGCGTGTCCTTTACGTGACGTCACACACACGCCGATGTGGGGAAACAAAGTGGTGTGGATCCGCTGCGGCCGGTGTCCACCAACATGCTGCAGGAGTCAGATACATTGCCACATGGCCGCTGAACAGCACTTCCGCATTTGTTAGGAAGGCAATTACCGCAAGGTGAGGGTGAATATGTTACACCTTCTATGTCACTATACCCCACTCCCTCTAGCATGTAAGCTCATTGAGCAGGGCCCTCAACCCCTCTGTCCTGTGTGTCCAACTCATTTGGTTATAAATACATGTCTGTTAATCCTCCTATTGTACAGCACTGTGGTATTTGTTGGCGCTTTATAAATAATAATAATCATTGCCCTGTGTCCTCGAATTGGAGACCACTCCTTTGGGAGATTCCAGAATCATTACTGACTGTCTTACCTTCACTTCGGACCTCCCATATTTATGTCTTTTCTACGCCTCATAGGGAAGCTGCATCAGGTGAATAATGCTTAGTTAATTTGTTACCTCGTGTTACATTGTGCCGGCTAACCTTTCTTCTGATTGAATTAATTACGTACCGAACTCTGCTTGTTTCTTGGATTCTGCTGCCTTCTCCTGCCCTCTAAACCCGGACTGTCAAAATTGTTACTGCCCCATCTCCAAACCCAAAGACTGTTTGCCGTTTCTGTGACCTCTCCTGCCCCAAGACCCGGATTGTTTAATGACCAATCTCTCTCTGCTGGAATCTTCACCACTTAACCTTAAGTATTGACACAAATTATATTATCTGAAACGTATTCAGCTTTACCTGCTTTATCCTGTGCTGGGTCTATTCTAGGATTTCTACTTTTGTGCCTATATTTAACTACTCCTCTACAAAGACTTGCTTAAACAAATTTACTCAGTAGAAGTCAATATCTGCTTTGATGGATCACTTTTTTGAAGCTATATCTGCCTTATTAATTTATGCTTGCTGGACAGTTTTTCTTTTTCCCATCTATCCTAATTAAAGTCTGGAGTATTTGTGTTTTTCCATCAAACATTTGTCTCATAATCAAAGAAGATTCTGGTTGTTAGGAAAATAAAAGTTTAATTATTTTCATTTTCTGCAGTTGTGTTCCATCTTTCACTAATAAGCCACTAATACATCCACCTGAGATTGAAACCGGTGGTGGGGGCATCGATGCTGATTATAGATTTTGCCCCAAGTCCCATTTTTTCCCTACTTATAGTAAAGGTCCTTTTTTAGAAACTTTTGAACATTTGGTAGACCAACAATTCCGAAATATGATGAAGGGTACCAATAGGAATAAAAAGAATTGCTCTCTAAATCTAAATAAAGAGGAAGAAAGTACACTTAAACGATTGATTGAAAAAGATGATATAATTATCAGGGAAGCAGATAAAGGGGGGGAGGGGGGATAGTATTAATGACTACTACATATTATCTCCAGGAAGCAGCACATATCTTGGGGGATAAAGATACTTATAGTGTACTTAGAGGTAATCCAACTAGTCGGTTCAATGTAGAGCTCCAAATAATTTTGAATGGAGCTAAAGAGAGAGGTACCATCTCACAGAAAAATTATGATTTTCTATATCAAAAAAATCCTATTATCCCTATTTTTTATTTTCTTCCAAAGACGCACAAGCGTCTCCCCAACCCTCCTAGGCGACCTATAATCAGTGGTATTAATTCACTGACAGCCAATTTGTCGGCTTATGTTGACTCACGATTACAGAAATATGCCCAAGGGGCACCTTCATATGTAAAGGATACAAAGTCTTTTCTCCAAGAGGTTGAGAACATTGAATGGGATCCGGAGTACAGTTGGGCCACCCTTGATGTGACCTCTCTGTACTCGGTGATTAGCCATAATTTGGGTCTGGAGGCAGTTGACTACTTTATGAAGCAGGATTTGGAGTTACCAACGGATATTAGAGAGTTTATTTTTTCCGCTGTTCAATTTATTTTATATCACAATTATTTTTTTTTCAATGGTGATTTTTTTCTACAAATCACGGGGACCGCCATGGGGACCAAGTTCGCCCCCAGTTATGCCAACACATACATGAGAAGATGGGAGGAGTTGTTTGTATGGTCTGGACATGGCTGGAGGGCGAACTTGGTCCTATGGCGGCGTTATATTGATGACATTATTATTATTTGGAAAGGGTCTTCTGCCCTGTTTGATGATTATGTCAACTTCTTGAATGATAACGAATATAATATGGTTTTCACCCCCATTTGGAATAAAAATGAGATCAATTTTCTTGATCTTTGTTTGTCGCATGATTCAAGACAGATAAGAAGTAAATGTTTTTTTAAACCTACTGATGGGAATGGGTTCGTTCACCGCAAGAGTGGGCACTATGAACCTTGGCTTAAGGGTATAGCTAGGAGTCAGTTTACCCGACTTAGGCGTAATTGCTCAGTTAAACAAGATTTTCTTACTCAATCATCACATATAAAGAGGAAGCTTATAGATAGGGGATACAATGAAAAGAGATTAGAGAGAGAGATTTGCCGTATTGGTGATATAGAAAGAAAGACACTCTTGGAGAATAGATCATCTATTCCTGAAACTAGACCATCTAATTTCCGTTCGGCATTTATTACTCATTATAACACTGATTACAATAGAATCAAGAGGAGTCTTCAAAGTTCTTGGCCTATTTTGTTACAAGACCCCATTCTGGGGGCACATTTAACGGATAACCCTCTAGTGATTTACAAGAGA